AACCCTTCTCTGACCCCAGCCTCTGGTGACGCCCTCTCCTGGCAGTCTTTCCTTTTCCTTTACAGGTCTTCCTGGAACCTTTGTAATTAAATAGTAATTGCATGATTAATTGTTTAACATCTGTCTTCCTTGCCAAATTATTTTCCCAATAAAAGCAGGAGGTAGGTTCTAATTCCAACACTAGCTCTTACCTAGAGCAATGAATTCTTTTTAAATGAGTTTCATTCACTCCTTTGTGCATGAATTTATTTAGTATTCATAAGCCTTAAGAACAGTGTTACAAACAGGAAAATAAACAAACAAAAAAATAGTGTGATCATTTCTATCTTCAGAGAGTTCACAATTTAGGACAGAAAGTTCTTAAACATTTTGGACAAGAGTTCCCATTAATAATCTGGTAAAAGAGGTGGCCATTTTCCCCAGAAACCACTCATCTGAAATGGACACAAGACTTTGTATTTAACTTGCAAGATTTGCAGGTTCCTGGGAATCCATTCAGCACCTTCCTAAAATTTTCCAGACTCTGAGGTCAAGTTTGCCCCACATAATGGACTTGAAGACATATATAAGGTCAGGACAGGGATAAAGGGTAATGTCAGCATGTCCTCCTACAGGTCAGGAAAGATATCCACTGAAGAGATAGTTGAGCCATGTGTTGGAAGATAAATCTGATTTTGCCAGAAGCGGGGGCATTGGAGATTGAGAAGACTGGATTCGGAAAATTGTGGAAGTGTGAAAGAGCATGTCACTGCAAGCAATGGAAGTACCTTGAACAGCTGAGATTGTGGAACTGGAAGCTGGGTGAGTGTGGGGTGGTGGTCGGAAATGGTTGTAGGAGAGGATACTGGAGTGGTAACTAGATATGGTGGTGGGCCACATTCAATGTTAGCCGTGGTTGATGGGGAATAATTTTTTTTAAGGGACTATTAAAATCAGATTTGTATATTAGAAGGAGCCCTCTGGTGGTGGTGTTGAGGGTTCTGGAGGATAGTGGAGTAGCTGTATGGGTATTCAGACCCCAGGACCTGGACAAACATGGGCAGTGGTGTTTATGGAGAGGGTATAGACTGGAGTGATATTCGGGAAGGAGAATCAGCAGGTCTTTGTGGCTGATTGGATGTGGGGTGTGTGAGAAAGGGTAGGAATAAACTCCAAGGTTGTGTCTTAGGCAACTGAGTGTGCCAGGATGCTGCTGGGTTTAGGTCGCCATGGGCATTTGCTTAGGCATGAATTCCAATTAAAAATAAACAAACAAAAACAACAACGATAAAAACCCAGAAATGCTCAGGGGTCCATTTTTTTTTCCTTTTCATTTCTTTCTTTGTGCTTAAAGTGAAATAAGCTTTTTGTAAGTGATTTAAAAAAAAAATAGGACATTCCTTACAACTTAGATTACCCAGCAGATTGGATAGAAGAATGTCAACAGGAAAATCAACCTTGCCTTTTAATCACAAAAGTTATTCCCGTGCAGCCACACGGAGGCAACTTTCTAATCTTTCTTCTTGAAATAAGAGCTCAGGCTGTGTTGAGATGCTAGATTGGCCACGTACAATCTGGATAGGGCAGATTACTCATCACTGCCTAAAGAATTCTGGAAGTCTGCATGCTTGGCAGGAAAGGTGACAGTTCAATTACAGGTCTGCCAAGTTGGATGCACTTAGCATAGTGCACTGTGTAAAGGGGATTCTCAATAAAATCATAGCTGTGAATTTCTTGTAAATAATTATTTTCTATACATTTTGAATCTCAGACATTATACATCTTGACTTAGGATAAAAATATCCATGAAAGGTACAACCCTCTTAATTAGTTGCAGATTCAAACTTCATGTAACAGAATGGTAGGCTTTCAATTAAAAATTTTTTATATCAGTTCTTTTGACACGTAATTTGCATGCGATACAGTTCACACATTTACAGTGTACAATGCTTTCAATTAGTCTTATTTGATTTAGTTTTTTTTTTCTAATTTTTGGCAATGAGGTGATTTGTTTTTTAGTTGTAGGTGGACATAGTACCTTTACTTTATTTTCACGTGGTGCTGAGAATAGAACCCAGGGCCTCATGCATACTAGGCAAGCACTCTACTCTAAGCCAAAACCCCAGCCCGATATTTGTTTTTTAATCAGAAAAATAAAAGTCTTTTTAAAAATTTTAGAATATCCTGATATAGGGGCTGGGGTTGTGGCTCAGCGGTAGAGCATTTGCCTAGCACATGCGAGGTCCTGGGTTCGATCCTTAACACCACATAAAAATAAATAAATAAAGGTATTGTGTCCAACTACAACTAAAAAATGAATATTTTTTTTAAAAAGAAATCATTTAGAATGTCCTGATATATAAGGCATTTTCTCTTCTGATTATTAAAGCCAAGATGAAATGTTGGTTTAAATTAAAGACAGTATAAAATATGGTCAAAATATTGCCACAAAAGTGATATGTTTACTGAGAAGATTAAAGATGGGTCATTCTAATGGCTTTTGTTGATGTCCTGCTAGGTAAGAGAGACCCAGTTTAATTTACAAGCCCTTATTTTGCCATCAGGGAATTAGGGGAAAACTTCCTCTGCCAATAACTGTCCCAGCTAAGGGCTGAGATGTTGTGATGGGTTTATTCTCACCCAGGATAATGGTGATATTGTATAACAGGGAAAAAAATTATACCCTTGGGGTTTAAACTGACTGTTGAAAGAAAAACTCAACCTTTCCATTTACTGTATATACACAGTGAGAAAAGTAAGAAGATTTTGAGAATTCTGAATGTCACCTCATATTATGTGTTAATGATCTTTGTGACAGATGGCACAGATCTAAAAACCATATTGTCTTGTTAAAATATCAGTGTGTGAAAAGAATGTAACCCCTTTCCTATGAAACAGACAGAACTGTCCTCAAAGACTGAACTTCTCTACTTTGCCATAAAATGCTGGATGGCAGGATTACAATCTGCATGTAGCTGATACCTATGTTGATGATTTATCTCTAACAGTTTTGCCTTCCAAGATTGCATACAGGTGTAGAGTGGGAGAGGGGTTTAACTGTCCGATTTGTTCCATTCCATCCTGATATCATGGCTAGTCTAATGGTTCTAAATGTAGCTTTTATTTTCTTACTTCTGGAATTAAAGGACTACAGAACCTCCAATTTAAATCTTGCATATGGCTTTAAAGCCTGCTATAACCCAACACCATCTTGCCTTTCCTGTAATCAGGCATACAAAGATCATTCTTGTGTCTGAAAGTTTGCTTATATTGTTTAACTTATTGTATTTGCTTTATAATAAAGTATATTAGATGCTATAAAAATAGCCTTACAGTCTTTTTTGTTTTCCATGAAGAGCATTTTCTACTATCAAGAGTACTGTGCCTTTTAGGGGATCCACAAAGAGGGAATTTTGCTCAGAACTTTCTGCTGCATAACCAAGATGTTAATTTCTTCTAGAAATTGCTATGTGTAATTAATTATATTTCCTTTGTTACTTTGACCACTAGGAAATTCAGAGTCACATGTGCATCTCTCCTCTAGTACCTACTATATTCTCTTTATTTATTTGCAGTGCTGGGTATCACACCCAGGGCTTCACATATGGTAGGAAAGTGCTGTATCATTGAATTACAACTTCAGCCCTAAATAGATTCATCTAGCATGTCTTTATTTGTATTAAATTTTTCTACTGACCTCATTTTATTGTCTTTACTTGGGGAAGAAGGAGCAGTGCCTTTTTATAATAACTTACTCTTTTGTTCTTGCAAACCATTTCAAATCCTTTTTAGAATAATAAAAAAAAAGCTTTTTAAAAATGCTCAACTTAGTCTTTTTACTCTTTTCCAACCTCATCCAGCCCTCAAATCTAGCTTTTCCATGCCCTCTTTTATTCTTCATTGACCCTTTTCTGAGTTCTTGTGTTAATATAACTTTGCACTTTACTAATTATGGTTTTACTCCTTAGTTTTCATGTGTATTAGTTCTGTTGCAGCAGGTTGTATGTTTTTTGGTGGCTGGGGCCATGGCTTATACTTTTCTGAAATATCTAGTGCAATGATCTTGTATCAAGAACTTTTCTTTTTTCACACTATATTAGTAACAAATAATCACCTTTTAATCTCATTAACTCTCAGAGCACTCAACACCTCTTATTTAAAGGTGCAGGACCTCCATCTCTCTTTTTTGGCGGTACTAGAGATTGAATCTGAGGGCATCTACCATTAGCTAAATCCCCACCCCTTTTTATTTTTTACTTTGAGACGAGAGAGTCTCACTAACTTGCTCCTGCTGATCTCGAATTTGCAATCCTCCTACCTCAGCCTCCAGAGTAGCTAGAATACAGGCGTGTGCCACAAACCCCCAGGAACCCATTTTTGTCTATAGCACCCTTGTTTCATCCATCTAAGAAGACTGTTCATTGATTTAAAAGTTTCTTGGGCTCCTTCTGTGTTCTTTGACAGGGCATTCATGCTCACAGCATCCTTTGAGATGGATGGTAATGCCTGCCAGTGGGAAGGCCAACTTGGGGGAGGACTAGGTAGGGAGTTTTGGCATGACCTGGGAGCCACTTCTTCGACAGGGAGGAAATCAGGTCTGCAGCCTGGGTGAAAGGTAGACACCTGAAGCCCTAATACATCCACGCTCAATAGTGCACACATTCTGGGTGCTAACTTCGATCACTTAGGCGATCGACTACTCTTTTCCGGAGGAAAGTGCAGTATGTTGTTGACAACCCTGTTCTGAGCAAACTGGGACGCGTGGTAACCTGGGCTGTAATCCAGATTCCCACCTCCCAGGGTGGAAAGAGGCGTCCCTCAGCAAGATGAGCCCACCGCGCACTAAGCAGGAGCCCATGCCGTGCCCCGGGCGGGAAGACTACAAGTCCCAGCAGTCAGCCGAAGCCCGTCTGGGCCAGTCTTCCGCCGGCCGCGCGCTCGGTCGCCCACGTTCTAGTAGGGCGCTGCTTTGGGGAGTCCTGCGTACTGACGTCAACACGCTGACGACGGAGGTGCGTGCGTGCTGACGTCAGCGCGTTTACATCTTACTCTTCGCGGCTTCTTAAATTGCCAGAGTCTGTGGGCTGGAGCTAGCGCCCGCTGGGGTGTTGTGCTCCGGCTTGGCTTTATCTATCTATCCATTTATTTATTTATTTATTTTTTAAAAGCCCGAGGTTCTCTGGAGAAGGGCGGCAGCTCTCAGCCAAGTTTTCGACTCACGGGTTCAAGATGAACAAAGTGTGCGCTATTTTTGGAGGTTCCCGGGGTATTGGCAGGGCAGTAGCCCAGTTAATGGCCCAGAAAGGCTACCGACTGGCGATCATCGCCAGAAATCTGGAAGTGGCCAAAGCCGCCGCAGGTGACCTCGGCGGTAGGTACCGAGCTTGTTCAGCTGCGTGACTGCAGTCCCGAGGGCTGAAGTTTTCGTGTGTAACACAAGCGACTCTGAGGGTTGGTGATTCAGCCGCGGATCCCTAGGATAGACCAGTTGGTGCAGACCCCTACCTGCTCACACCTCAACGCCACCTGCCGCCCAGGGCTGGGCGCTGGGGGATTTTATTAAGAAGTCGCAGTCTTGTAAGGCCCCACTAACAAGCCTTCATTTTCCTGCAGCCTTTGCTAATAGTGAGGAGCTCTGTTTTGGCATCTGGTAGGAGAAAGCAACTCCACACTTAACTTTATGTGGGGGTCAGGGAATGATCCCTGACTACAGCTACAGGGTTAAGTCTGGAGAGGTAGACATGCCATGTAGAAAAAGCTCACTTTGGTTTTCCCGAGCGGTGTTCCTGCCACTATGTGAATGCCCAAAGCAGTGCATCAGAGAAAACCTCTTTTGGGTGCCAGCCGGTTTTGAGATATATCTGGTTTGCTTTATTACATCTATTAAGAGTTTTAAGTCATTGATTCCCTTTTTTGTGAATTTTGTAAGTAATTGGAATTTGTTTGGCTCAGTCCTTTTTATTACCTTCAATTTTTTTTTCTTATTAATGGGTCAGTTATTGTTTTTCAAACTTATGTCTCTTGATGGTAAGGGTAAAAGTGACGTCTGAGGGTTTGAAGATACTAAGACCGAACCAATTAGAAGAGAGAAGAATACTAGTAACTTATTATCAGGAAGGCTTTGGGAGGAATTGAATCCTGGGGGTGTGAAGTTTTGTGTTTTGTTTTTAAAAGAAGTTGCTGATAGGTTTGGTACCACCAGCTCAGACTCATTGTTTCCTTAGTTTGGGAAAATACTTGGCTCTCTAAAATTACAACTGGAGAATTTCCATTAAAGAAAGAAGTCTTTCAGCTCATATTCATTGCCAGTATATGACCAAGGAGGGAAAAAGTGGTGCTCCTTGCTGGGTTATACCAAACCATCAGTGTTTGCTGATTAGATTAAAAACCATTAGTTGAGTTTTAGAGGATAATTGTGGACCAATAAGTCTTCACATGAAAACCAGAAGTGAGACAGGTGATGCTTTTGGGCATTTCATTTCCTTGAATCATGTGTTTCCCGAGTGACTGATTTTCATTAGTAAAGTGTGATTTTTCCCAGGTGTCTTACTGTTCCCAAAGGCATGAGGGGATAATGTTAGTGTATACATATTTGGCAAAATCAGGCAGAAAATAAGCAATTATTTTAGTTTATAAAAATTGTACTATTTAGAGTATAGATATACCTGACTTGACAATGTGATGTGCATTCAGTAGAAACCAGTTCTTTCAGGCTGGGGTTGTGGCTCCGCAGTAGAACCTAGCACATGTGAGGCCCTGGGTTTGATCCTCATCACCACATAAAAATAATAAATAAAATAAAGGTATTGTGTCCAACTATAAGAAAGAAAGAGAGAGGAGAGAAAGGAAGGAAGGAAGGAAGGGAAGGAAAGAAAGGAAGGAAAGGAAGGAAGGAAGGAAGGAAAGAAAGAAAGAAAGAAAGAAAGAAAGAAAGAAATCAGTTCTTTAAATTTGAAATGGCTGGACCTAATGGCACATGCCTGTACTCCCAGTGACTCAGGAGGCTGAGGCAGGAAAATAACATAGCCAGGCCCTAACAAATGAGTGAGACCTTGTTTCAAAAAACAAAACAATTTTGAATTAGGATCTACCCCAGGCTAGTGATATGCAGGATGATACTCTTGATGCTGGGCAGTGCAACAAGCCTTAGCTCCCAGGCAGCCATGCAGTCAGGAGGGGAGACACACCATACTCTGCAGTGTACAGTACTGGTTAGCTTTCTGTTTGGTAGGTTAGGTGCATGAAATACATTTTCAACCTATGATATTTTCACCCTATGATGGGCTTATCTAGATGTTACCCCATCATAAATCAAGGAACATGAATTAAAATGGTAGATTATTAAGTAGGGAATATTTTATTTTCCTTTGAAGTATGATTTTTTGGCATTTAAACAATTTTTGAAAAGTGGCTATTTTTGAGAGGTAACAATTACTTTTAGTAAAAATGATTTGTAGTTTTAGCTCTTTTTTTATGGCTTTCTTTGTTGTCTCATCTATACTGATGGTCAGGCTTTTATATATATTATATATGTATAAAAATAGTTTATTTTTAGTGCTTAAAAAATAACAACAAAAAAGAAACCTTGGAGTTTATCCTCAGGACTAAAGAAACAAATTCAACCTAAAGAATTAGACATAAGTTTCAAACAAGGAATATGAACCCAGAAGACTGTTGAATTGGGCATTACATGTTTAGTGTTAAAGCTATAAACATTATTATGAATCTTATCAAAGCACTGCAAACTTGGAAAAGGATCCCACAATTTTATAGATTCAAAACAAAGTTTTATTTTTTAAAATAAAAACAATCTTTCTAAGAGCCAGGATCTCTTAGCCAGGTGCTGTAGCATATGCCTGTAATGTCAGTGACACCTGAGGATGAGGCAGAAGGATTGAAGTTCAGGGTCAGCTTTAGCAACTTAGTGAGGGAACTGTCTCAAAATAAAAAGGGATGGGCATGGAAAGAGGTACAGTGGCCCTGGGTTCAATCTGCAGTTAAAAAAAAAAAAAAAGCCAAGTTTTCTTTGTTTCCCAGGCTAGCCTTGAACTCCTGGGCTCAATCTATCTTCCTCAGCTTCCAGAATGACTGTGATTACAGGTGTGTGCAACTGTGCCTTATAAAAAAACAACAAAACTTTCCAAAGTTTCCAAATAAACTTTTGTTATTTTACTTTCTTGTTCCCTGCCCACCCCATCCCAGTTTAATTTGACAAGTGAGAGCAGGAACCTATGAAATACTTATCTTTTATCTCTAGGGTTAGCACAAGCCTACCATGTAGTAGGGGCTTAACAAATGTGTACTGTGTAGATTCAAAATTTACATTATAATTAATTCTAATGTAACTTTGTTTTGTAGGAAATCATTTAGCATTTAGCTGTGATGTTGCTAAAGAACATGATGTTCAAAATACATTTGAAGAGATGGAGAAACATTTAGGTCAAGTAAATTTTTTGGTAAATGCAGCTGGTATTAACAGGTTGGTCATAGATTTAAGTAAATTTCTAAGTTTTTTTTTAACCCATTTAGGCTTTTGATTAGTATCAGTTAATGTATTAGTAAAGTTGTTTTACTTGTAAGAAAAAGTGTGTGTTTTAAAACTTTTCCATGAATTCTTTTCTTTCATATTGAAATAAGTGCCTAGTTTGATCAGTTTTAATATTTTAATCCTCATCAATATTGAGCTATTGAATGTTTCTATAACTTTAAAGGCTGTTTCTTCTCAATACTTCCTCATAGCTAACCAGTATTCTGAATTCTGTCACCGTGTGTGTGTGTGTGTGTGTGTGTGTGTGTGTGTATGTGTGTGTATGTGTATATGTGTATTTTTTTTTGTGGGGGGAGTATATGAACTGATGGAATTATAGGGTAGGCATTCTTTTATAAAAAATAGATGAATTTAGATAATATACTAATATACTAATTGTCTTGCTAAACAAGGCTTAGTATGGCAATTGCTTAGGCTATTCAAAATATTTTGGCTACATGGTACTACTTTTAGCAATTTGGAATGTTTGTCACTTTAACTGAAATTGGTAGGAACTACCTTCCAAGTGGATCCTTTCTAAAAGCTTATGATTTATTTTAGTGGCTCACAAGCCAAGGTCAAAATAATACCCTCTAGGCATTCTATCTCAGATACGAAGAATGTCTTACACTCTTTCCATTAAAATGTTACCTATGTCTTGACTTAAAAAAATTGTTATTAATTTACATGCTGTTTATTTTTTGTAGGGATAGTCTTTTAGTAAGAACAAAAACCGAAGATATGATATCTCAACTTAATACTAATCTCTTGGGTTCTATGCTGACTTGTAAAGCTGCCATGAGGACTATGATTCAACAACAGGGAGGGTCTATTGTTAATGTAGGTGAGTTTTTATCTTTGTGGGTTTATAATTATTGTGTATTACCATAAGCATATTTAATCCACTAATTTGTAACTTTCACTTATGAAATTTATCTTTGTATTATCTGTTGGAAAAGATTTAATTAGCTAATCAATGAGTAAAACAGGAATCACAAATTCACATCCTGATGGGACAGGCGGATGTTGACCACCAAGTATTAGAGAATGGCAGTAGAGGTCATGTGATAAATGACAGAAGACATTTAGGTTCAGTTGGTGTTCAGATCTAGTCGATTTTTGGTGTGCATGAATGTGGTTCCAGTTTTGCTAATAATTTTGATTTTTCAAGAGAAATTGGGCATCCTAATTTTTATGCAAAGCCTAATTTAAATTTTTATGTGAAGCTTAATTTTAAAAATATGGACAAAGAATTAAAAAAAATTGTGGACACTGGGTAGTAAACAACAATTATTGTAGTAGTTGCATAAATTTGCAGAAGTTAAAGTGACACACTTTCAGACCTTTGAACATTCTTGCATTGTCTAACATGAGCTTTTCAGGGGACACTTTATATCCAAACCATAACTGGAAGTGAAAAATTCATATTTCCTGGTATTTTTACTTTGCATTTTCTATCTTTAGATATGTTTAAATACACAAAATACTATTACACAAATACTTTACAATTGCCTGCCGTATCCAGGACAGTAACATGCTGTACAGGTTTGTAGCTTAGGAGCAATAGACTATACCATGTAGCTTGGGGTGTGTAGTAGACTCTACCATCTTATTTTGTGTAAGTGATCTCTGTGATGTTTGCATGACTATGAAATCACCTAACAGTGGTTAATCTGTATGTGTCATTAAGCGATGCATGACTGTATAATGTAGGTAAATTTTTAATATTGGATTTGATTATAATCGAAAAAGTAGATTTTTTCTTTCTTTCTTTTGGGTACCAGCTATTGAATCCAGAGGCTCATAACAACTGAGTCACATCCTTAGCCCCCCACCCTTTTTTTTTTTAAAGAGAGAGAGAGAGAGAGAGAGAGAAAGAGAGAATGAATTTTATTTTTTAGTTATCGGCGAACACAACATCTTTGTTTTGTATGTGGTGCTGAGGATCAAACCTGGGCCGCATGCATGCCAGGCAAGCGCGCGACTGCTTGAGCCACATCTCCAGCCCCATCCTTAGCCCTTTTTAACATTTTCTTTAGAGACAGGGTCCTGCTGAGTTGCTTAGGGCCTCACTAAGTTGCTGAGGCTGGCTTTGAACTCAGGATCCTCCTGCGCCACTGGGATTATAGGCATGCACCACTGCCCCTGGTGATGTTTTCTTTTTCTAAAGTAAAATTACTTAAAAATTTTTGTGAGCTTATTTAATTTTTGTATCATAAATACAGGTCAGTGGTGCAGAAAATTACTTCCCTACTTCTGTTTTGCAAACAATTATTTGCATATAGCTGATATTTTGAATTATAAATAATATAATTTATGACTTATATAAATATAAATTACATATTCTTTAAATGAAGTCACCTGAGTGCCGGGTTTCTGTTCTCCAGACTAAAAGGCTCAGGGGTCACTCCAGTTGAATTGGGCTGACTGGGCTGCGTAAAATAACCACACAAGAGACACAAATACCTTTTTCTTTGGGGTCGCTGTGACAACTCCTCTGACCTTAAGGGTCAGCAGGAAGAGAGAGCAGGAGCATATGCTGACCCCTTTTATTGAGGAGAAGCTATTCAAATGAGGCAAGGTGTCAGGTTTCAGGGGGCTGAGTCTGTCCTCATGATGTCCACTGTCAGCAGGTTGACTGATAACTGGGTAGGCCACACCCTAGGGCACAGTAAGAGAAGGGGATACACACGGCACTTTCATGGAAGATTCTATCCTAAAGAGGGAAAGGGGTTATATTACAAAGGAACAGGTGAGCATAGCTTCACCCATGGGGCTGTAGCAAGACACACCCATGCACGAGACACCGACCCTCGAACCCA